AGGAAAGATAACATGGGCAGGAAGTTTTGTGACAAACAAAAGAGTATTTCAGTGATACATCCCATGCAAGTACCTCTGAGAAGCAGTGGCAACACTGAAAGCTCAGAGTAGTTTTATGGAGGTTGCATAGTGCTCCATTGAGCTGAAATGGAACTACTGCCTTCCATACCATAAAAGCCAAAGGCTTTCAATCTGCCCTTTATACTTGGATGAATAATTCATTGCAGGCTTGGCCAGCCCAGCTCCCTTCCCTCCATGCAAGGCAGGGCTGGAGAGTCAACACAAGTTGGTCTCTGTACCGCTACAGAGATCATTACGCTGTGCATTGGAGCGCGCCATTGTACCAGACTTGTTCAGACAGGCCCGTGACAAGAGAACCAAGGCAGAGGAAACATAAATACCTTGTTTTTATAGCACATATACCTTGAATTTAGCCAGGACTACAAAAACAGCGCAGCATGGCTCACCATCAGGAACACTGCTCCAGACATTGCTGCCTGCCCTGCAGCTAGATTAACTTAGTGCCTTGAAATATATGGGAAAAAGCACATGGTGGTGGTGGGAGGTGTAAATGGACACCACTATTTCTTGGGATTTGTTTCCAAACTACAGGAACATGGGATGCTGGAAGAAACTCATGTTTTTGTAATGGAAAAAAAGAATAAAACTAAGGAAAACCCACATGCCTCACTGGTCAGGAAAAGGAATTGAAACCCCAAGGAATATAAAGCCCTTTTTTCCATGGAAGTCGAAAAAGGAAACAAGACAAATCATGCAAAAGGGAGGAATCAGAATTCAGCAAAGTTCTGCAAGATACACAAACTATAGGACGTTCAATCATAGTACTGCATAACCAACTCAGTTGTATGAGCCACATCAATCACTTTTAAACTATTAATAGTTTGCATTTAGAAGCCATTACGTACACTTTCAATGTGCCATTTACTGTATGAATAAATGTAAATAATGCTTATAGCAGAAGAGCTACTGATAAAACTGTGAAGAGGATGCAAGATAAGGAACATGCCACACTTCCAGTGCATTTAAAATAACAGTGCTTCTTACAAGCAAAACCACTTCAGATTAGAGGAAAATCTATTTCACTAACTACAGATTTAGAAGACGATAAATCGCTTCCAGTCCTCAGCTTTGCTTCTGAAGATGCTTCTCCACTTTAAAATGAAACATTTATGCACTCTTTTTCAAAATTAAGTTACCATTTTAACAAAATAACCCTTTCCCTCTTAGCCTAAAACAAACTTTGCAGCCTCCATAACCTCATGCAACTGACTTCATTCTTAATTTCTAACACTTGCATACAAAAAACAAACAGGGCAGTGACGTATCACTTAATCTGACTGTTTATTAGTAACATTTTGCTTAGACAATGTTATTTGCCTAGGGCAGACAGCACATAGTTCCATTAGATCCAGCATCTAACTCCCTGACCCTTGGAAGGATCAAGGCTTTCAAGGCTATCTAGAAAATCCAGCTGTCAACACTGTGAGCTCTCCTACACTTGCTGAGCTTGGTTTATACAAGACATTTCTGCCAGCTTTGAAGCAGGACTACCTGTACTTAACTGCTTCATCCCCTTTGGGGGGCCACAATTCTGGAATGTACTGGCAGTTAGGTACTCGGTGTGCACCAAGATGTCACCTGCAGTAGTGAACAGCAAACACGTCCCAGCCAATGGACCTACGAATTCCTCCTGCAAGTATGAATCACTGCTAAATTCAAAGGCGTACAAACACAAGGTTCTCCAAACCTCAGCCAGCTAAGTGTGGTTGAGGGAGTGGTCCAAGACAGACAGAAGTTGCCTCTTATTCTGCAGGTCTTTACTCACAGAAGATTCAACTATCTTCACTCTAAGAGCATGCACGCCCAGCATGAAGCCACTTCTCACATTGTCTGAGACCACCGTTTGCATTGGTGGTCACTTTGCTCCAGACCCCATTATTTTGCATTTCAGCAAGTTCCTGTGCAGCCTTACAACAGCAGGGCAGGATGATCAGCTTCCATCAAGCTGTTTGTAGAAGTGGACAGTGAGCTTAGTAAGCAGAACATCTTTTGCCTTAAGCAGTTAACTGTCATGCATAAACTGGACATGATGAAATCTTATAATAGGCTAAAAAACATTGAGCAGATTATTTTTTTTGTGGGGCACATATTTATCATTTGCTTAGGTGTCTTGCTGATAATTTCCACAGCAACTTTACTATGGCCTTTTAAGGACACACTCCTCTGTCAGCCAAGCAAGAATCTTCAAGAGACACCTGAGAAGGCAGAGCTTGGCTGAAGTGGCTCTGAGAGGAAAAACCACCCCTGCAGCCCCTACCCAGGCCTCACTGGTTAAGCAAAGAAATGCTGCCCATAAATGCTGCCATTTGCTAGTTGCTTTTGCAGTTGCACATTTCCAGGCCCAGCAATGAGGACAGAACATTTTCACCTTCCCAACCCCCTCCAATGGCTTACTTTCAACATTAAGTGAACTGTATTCACTTGTACTAATACCTCTTCCTCTACCTTTAGCAGGTAACACAAAAACCCAAAGCACTGCTTTGAACAAAACGGCAAAGTAGCTAAGTACAAAAGCTTTCCCATCTACTTATAGCTTGGTAAGTCAAGTGAGAAAATATCATTTAAGATACCATATACCTAACAAGCCGCCTGCTATCAACAATCACAACAACAAAACATTCATCATTGTCAGAACAAAGAGGCAGTAGTACTGTAATACTGTTTCCAACTCCTTCTGTAGGATGCCTTTTTAATGGCATCCCTCAACTCTATGTAACTTTGAGCTACACTTATTGTCTATACCCCCTGTTTTTTGCCTACTGTTCCAGCAAAGGAGCCGAGGAATTGATACTGTCCTTTCTCTATGAAGACAGACCAGGCCCCTCTGATCAGTGGTGACCTGCTAATGAGATGTCAAGCATGCATAGGCACATTCAATAACACAAATACAAGCATATACGATCTTCCTGCCTGACAACATCTATGACTATCGAGCACATACAGGCTTTAATGGACTCACCCAGCATTACAGCCTGGTATTCAGCTCATTTTAGTGACAACACGCTCTATGTAGTTGCTCTGTAGCAAAACCTAGTCACAAACTGTACTTTTAGTCAATGTGATGCATTCACTCTTTGCTTCTCTACACACATCCTTCCAGTAATGGATTCCATCCGCACTGGTGCCAGAAGCAGAGCAAACAGTATCACCACAGTACAAACAAGTTCAGAGGCTCCAAATGAAAAGCCCCAATGAAACAGTAAAAGATAGGACATGTATGCAGTGCAATATCTCACCATCATTAAAAGCCAATTAGAACATACTTGCTGGCATTGATCCAATGCCAGGAATCAAAGTTTCCAACCTAGGTGGAAACCTACTACATTAAACAAGCACAACAACTCACAAATTACGCACATAAGCATAATTCCTCAGAGATCCCATGTCCTAATTTGCTGCCTTCTTTTCCCACCTAAAATCTATTTCAAACTGTGAATAGCAATGTGTCCCCTTCACACACACAGTGATCTGCTTCTTGCAGAGAGGCTGAATGACACTCAGCATTTCATTCTGCAAGACTTCTCAATAGCTTTCTGCTGTTGTGGAGATCACACTGTATTTCTCTATAAGACCAAGCGCACAAGAGTGACTGATGAATATTTGCAAATAGAAGATTTTTTTCAGCACACAGATATCACTCAAATCCATCGATATCTAGTAAGTCATTTTCTTCCCCTTCACAAATGAATTGTCTCTGAAAATATTCTCTTAGGAAAACACATAGCAGAATTAAGATGGAAGTCTGTTTGCAAGAGACCGATCTGTTACTTCTAAAACCTAAAAAAAAGCAAAACCCATAGCATGTCTAAAACATCATTCCTAGAGCACACACACACATCTGCTAAATGCAATTCATTAGCTACCTACTACTGTGTCAGGCTGCTGCCAACAGAGCAAGAGGAAATAGCAAACACTAGCAAGATCTGTAAAACCAGCTCTGAGCACACACTCCTAGCAAGAGTAGGAACAGAAGAAATTGAACAATGTACTACCATATGATGCAGCTGAAATAGTTCAGGTCTTCAGAGACATCATAGGAAAGAGTTGCAAACATCAGCAAGACAAGGCAGCCATTATCAGAGAGTAAATCATACTGTGTGTTTGAGGCTGCTCTAAGGGCCAGTTAAAATACACTGTAAAATTACTGAAGCAGAATTTCTCTAGGGTGCAAATATCTGTAATATCACAAAGGCATAGCTGCATTGTCCTCCGCTTGAGAATTACTTCTTGCACATGTAAGGAAAGTAAGTCAAAAAAATCACAGCTCAAGGGACAGTTACACATGGGAGTCCGGATAAGTAAGAGGAGTTTCCGATTGAAAGTAGCCAAATTATACTTTCAAAACAAAAAAGCAAACCAAACACACCAGGCTTATCCATAGATTCGACAATTTAAAAAAGTTTATTCTTAGACAGGTCCGAGAGGATTTCTTTCCTGTTAGGTACTTTAAAGCCCAGTGACACAAAAAGTATTGCTAGATTTCCCAGACTACAAAATGCAGCACAAGAATGTTCAATACATAAGCTGTGAAGGTCTTGTATTCTAACCTCGTCTCTCAAACACATACTTTGATATCCGTTGGTATTTCCTACAGCATATGCAACTTCTAAACAACATGAAGTGTTTATCAGCAGAAGGAGTCAGTTGCTGTGGGAAGCTGACATCAAAGGCATACCACTTTCACGGAGGGAGAAGCAGAGACTGATGCAGCTTAGGAAATTAAAGAAATCTCAACTTTGCGTGTATGTTTGCAGCACCCAAAATAACTCTGCTCACAGGCTGAGATATTGCTTTCCTCTGATACTCTTTTGTTTCCCACCCCTTCCCCTCTTGACCAAGTCATCAGCAGCCTGTTAAATATATCTACTCTTCATTTGGTCTTACTGGTAACGTGAGCCAAACACTGACCACATCCTCACCTCTCATGACTTAATGATATGTGCACTGGTACCGGCACCATCACTTGGAGACTGTCCTGCTCTCTTTCACGTGCGTGTAAACATACGAGTTGCAGTTCTGCTACTCCGACATGCTTCACTTCATGCCAGTTTCTCCCTAGAAAGGTTTACCATTGATGAGAAGGAACAGAACAGAAGACACACATTTTAATCATTCAAATATCAAATCTGGTATTTAAGTTAACATCTTAGGTTCTGTTTTCCCTCCCTCTCCTCACAGGAGATTTCTCATGAGACAACTACCCCATTCAACTGCCAAGTTCCCCTTCTGAGGAACAATCCTGTTGAAGAAACCCACGGGAGCAGTACTGCTCCAGAGCTACACTGATTGATGGTGAATAGGGATCTGTCTGACAAAGCTTTGTTTCAAAAAGGCAAAAAGACGACAAAAAACATCTTTGTCATCCGCAGCATAAAACTGTAATCCAAATTTGAACTTTATCAGTACCCTAAACTGTGAAGGAGCAGGTGCTAAAAGCATGATTATTGATGATACACAGTTCTCTCCTTCTGCTTGAAGGGATAAGGCTAAAAGTTTTCGTTGCAGAACTACAGGAGCCTTCTCTTAAAGCCTATTAAGGCATTTTCTTCAGAAGTGTAACAATAACAGACACAGTGCTTTCTGGCCTGTAAAATTCCTCCTTTCCCTGACCTTGAGAACCACCAGCCTCCAAGACGAACTGAAGTATTTTTATTAGGCTGGCTGCCTGCCTACACACGTTGCCTTTTCAATAAAGCCAACTTGGGAGACTCGCAGGCAAAACTTTATACATCACATAATTCTGCTCCACTCTTACAAGACACCAGAAGACTACACAGCATTTGTCATAATTATTGCCACCAGACTTCCAAATTATCTTCTTTCCTATAGGATTCCTTGCTCTTTCCAGAAAACAGCATCCTAATCAGGCCAGCACACATCAGCCATTTGCCAAATGGTAACCTCAGTGAAATATTATGATTTAGTAACTTTGACACTAATCTACAAATGAGGACTCTATTACCAGCACAACCACTGAACTTGTAACTTCACCTTTCTATGTCCCTTCTCCTCCCCCTACTCCTCTTTTGCTTTTTTCCATGCCAAATATCTTTGCCCTGGAACACCTGTAACTGCTGGACAAAATAGGTCCTAATCTTCGTAAAGGCTCCAGTAGGCACAGGATAGAAATCTTCAGTGCCAAAATACCATCTGTTTCTTAGGTAACCATCACTGCCTTAAGTTTCAAAAAGAATGCCAGGGACTTTTGTGGCTGGTCCTGCTAGTACACAAACTTTAAGCACCTAAAGGCAAATACATTTGTTGAGATGTCTATCCAGTCACTTCATTGAATTACCTTCTAAGAGGTCCAGGTATACCACAAACGCAGCATAGATTTGAGCACTATCAGATATATCAAGAGACATCATTTCTGTGAACTGAAACACAAAAAGTAGTGTTGGTCAAGGAAAGCATAAGTTATATTAAAAATACACAGACCAAACCCAGAACCTGTACAGCTATCTAAGCCACTGAAGTCTGAAACCAGTTTTAAGGACTAACAGGGAATTAAAAACCAGTTGTTTTCTGACAGTATCTTAAGAGCTCTTTTTTCCACATTACCCCTATTTCAGCGCTTAAGAAAGCATGCCAAATAAACAAATAAATGAGGAATCACAACTATTTCTGGAACAGATCTAGCTTTGTGGAGAAGGGCTATGAATTTTACCTATTTTTGCTTCAGTACATCAACATAAGATGACGGCCAAATTAAATACCTCCACGTTTTCAGTATACTAAAAATTAAGATGGAGTCCACATTTAAGACACTTGCGTTTTCCAGCTGTGATTTCAGCATTTACAACCTCATCCCCTACTAAAAGCAGCATTCCCCAGCAACCCCAACAGCTCTCCTAGCTCTCCTCACGGGCCTGGAGACGAGCCTCCTCAACAGGCCCAATGTAACAAAACACGTTATATTAAAATCTCCTCCTCGAGCACCCCTTCTCGGGGAGGGACCCGCTTCACCGGCCCCTCGGCCTCGGGGTGCCCGCGATTACCTACGTGCGCCCCCGCCCCGAGATGCTCCTCAAAGCCATGGTGGTGAGAAATCCTGTCAGGGACCGGGGCAACGGGCACAGGCGGGAAAGGGGGACCCCCCCCCCCCAAGTGACTGAGGGCCCCCCGCCTCAGCGGGGTGGGCCCTAACGGTGGCCCCCCCGCCGCCCTTC